TCTCTCTATCGCTCAGTCTCTCTATCGCTCAGTCTCTCTATCGCTCAGTCTCTCCATCTCTCTATAGCTCTTTTTCTCTATCGCTCTATCTCTCCATCTCTCTGAATCTCTGTACCTCTATTTCACCATATATCTCTCTGTACCTCTCATTTTTTTTCTACATCTATCATGCACCGCCCACGTGTCATGTTCACCTCGGTCTCGCCCCGCGTCACAAGGCAACGCTCAGCAACTATGAAGCAATTGGGAATTGCATTAAACTGTAGCGCCGCCTTGTGCTGCAGTACCATCTAGTGGCGTTACAACAAAATGAACAACATAAAAACTTTCTCCATGAAAAAAACACGTAGATATTTATGGAGATCGTCAAATTGTGTCAGAATTTATCGATCACAAACAAACCAACATCCATTTTTATACACAAATATATAGATGTTATCCAAAAAATGTATGAGGGATAAACCTAGCTACAATTTAAGGTTATATTATAAACATAGTTAATTCAATTCAAACAATTTTGATTTAAGAAAATCTAACCAATTTTTTAGGTGGCTTTAATTGTTCATTTTTTTTAAATGTCGGGTTAAAACAACAAATCTGAGTACTTACAAAAATTTCTTCTTTTAAAATATAACTTTGTGTTATTCGATAGATAGGTGACCTGGATGACCGCAGTGGCTAGAACGTGTCCCGAATCAGAGCCTTCGAGTCCTCTCTCGAAGACTTAAATGAATCTATTTAAAAATGAGATAACTGTAATCGAACTCACTGACAAATTGAACGCATGAGCATAACTGGCAGTTAGTTGCTAGCAGTGGACAAGCAGTCCGTCTTATATACTCAGCCAAAGCAGTCCCTTTTTATAGTAAGTAATCTCTGTATAACCAGGGTTCCCAGACATTCACCCATCCGGGGACACCCAGTGTCTCGGTTTAACTTTAGTGATTTCACGGAGCTGGAAGCAGAAGTTGGAGGCAGTTGGGGTGCGTACCTGCCGATCCCGTAGGGCGCGGAGTCGCCGTGCTGCTTGAGCAGCGCGCGGTGCAGGTTGTCCTTGTGCGGGAAGTTGTAGGCCAGCGCCGGGGGCGGCGGAGGCGGCGGGAGCTGCGCCTGGCCGTGCGCCTGCAGCTTGTGGCCCACGTGCGAGTTCTTACCCGGTGCGAACAGTGGGTGGTACTCCTTCACTGGCACCTAGAAAAGCAGGCAGTGCACGCAGCCGTTTGTTAGATCGAACACGGTGAAGTTCCCCCAAAAATACTTTAAAGAAAGCAAAATCTGTGTTCTTCAAGATGGCCAGAAAAAAATTGGCCCTTACCTCCCTCATTTTTTAATAAAAGAAAATGTTATTAGTACAGGCTCTTATGGAAAAACTTTGTAAGTTATAGAATAATTTATACGGTCAATGTCCTTTTTTTCTTATATTCAAAACTGCTGCAAAATGCATCGCAACCGGAAGTACTGGCTCTTGGTCTAGGAGTAATCCTGTACAAATCATGCTATTGTCATTACTGTTTCTCTTTCGATAGAAGCTTAAAGAACGCCAACTTCAAATATAGTACCACACTCATACACTGACTGTAATCCACTTTCAATATAAGCAATGAGGACTAATATTTAACGCAGAAAGAAAGAATGGGTGCTGAAGTGAACCTAACGGCGTTGTAATTAAGTATCGCCAACTTGTAAAAATAAGATGTCATGCAAGAGACTAAATTTACTAGTAAAGGTTTTTTTAAAGTACGTTGAAGCTACTATTCAATCCTTCTCTTTTAACTATTTACAAATATTTATTTAAATGCTCCTTTCCTGTCTGTTTACAAGCAGCTATTGTTAATCTATAAGTGTAATAAATAGTCGAGTGTTTTGACTAGCTTTTGGCACGAACACAACACTTTCAGTAAGCGTTTTATCCAGAAAGGGATATGTTACCATTGACTATTTTCATATATTGACGTGATGTGTGCAAAAGCATGGTAGCCCACAATTTATACCAAATAAGAAAAGTTATGAAATGTGCCATAAAAATCTATGTTGCATCAACTTTTTGGTCTTGCGATATTATGTTTTCGGAGAGAATGATACGCAATAATTCTTGTAATACAGTTTGGAAGTTTGGAAAACAACCAACTTTTAGCTTTGTTTATTACTATCGGATCTGTGGCGGTTTGTGAAAAACAAATATCACGTGTGTTACCGTGATGTTGTCCTTAAACGCTCATCATTGTATCAGCTGGCTGCTGTGATCTATAATTTTCCTTGAATTTTGTCGTGAATACTGGAAAAACTCCCGATCCTTAGCAAACGGTACACGGACCACGTGTGAACATTTCATCCTCATTGTATCTACATCTTCTCTTTAAGACACGACACACACACACACACACACACACACACTCTTACATGCACTACACTACCACGAATGTCGGGAGACCAGTCGGACACTAAGACCTTACCCTGAACCCGACCGTGCTTAGACCTTGCCCCGACGCTTAGAACTTGCCCCTTGGGTGGTGCCTTGCTAGGGGGAGATAACTGGGGGAGGATTACCCTCAAGACGACATGTAGATCGGCACCGGATATCTCACTCCAGCGAGCGAGGAATATAGGCGTGTCAGGGATAGCGCATGCAGAACTCGTACGGGACTAATGCCAATAGCATTTGACCGGATCACTCTAACCGAAGCGGTACCTCCCCTGCCAGGTCGCAGCCGGATCTCGACATCCAGGGGGAGGGGGAACTAACCGCCACCTCTGAACGCGTGTACTACACTTACGGGACTAGTGGCCTTACACGTCGACGCACCCGGAATCACTAGTCAATCAATCAATGAATGGTACCTCACCTGCACGTAGTGCGGCACGGCCACGAGGTGGTGCACGGGCACTTCGATGGGGTGCGGCACGGCGTAGGGCACGGCGACCGGGTGCGGCACGGCCACGGGCTGCGGGTAGGGCACGGGCCGCTCCACCTCCACCAGCTTCGTCACCTCCACGGGCTTCTCCACCTCCACGTACTTGGTTCGTTCGACCGGCACCGGCACCGCCACCGGCACCGGCACCTGCACGCGCACTGGCTGCTCCAGCGCCGCGTACTGCCCCTTGTCCGGAGCTGCCGCCGCCGCCGATGGCTTCTCCAGCGCCACCACCTGCACGCACGCCCACCACGCAATGCACTCCGGTGCCTCAGAATAAAGGTAACAAACTTCTAAGGAAGTCAAAAATGATCACATTTTGTTCAAGATCAAATAGCGTGAAATGTATATAACGGAGTTATAAGCATTTGTAATACTTATAATATGATTATAATTATATTTCGTTTTTGATGATAAACTACCTCCTATACGAAAAAAACACAAAATTTTACAAAAGAAAGGAAATACCGCTCTTTCATGATAATAAAGTACAGTTGGCTATGATTAAGCATTCTATACTTTCTGTACAATAGTATTAAATATTTATTTATTGTCATATTTTATTTGTCTAATAGCACCTTACGGCAAACTCACGAAGTGACTCTTCCTTCATATAAAATATTGTATAGTAAATAAATTGAAAATCCTATCATCAATCAAAGGTAGATCAATCATATAGAAGGTTTTATATTTTCTATTTTAGTACCACAAATTTTAGTTTTCCTTGGAAGTTTTCTTCTCAAAGTAAAGAACAAAAAATAATAATCATTGTCGCCAAAATGTAAAAATGTTCATGAAAGGTTGTCCATCATAAACGGTGATTTGCCCCATGCGTTTGGGAACCCCGTGATCATATAGGTTTCGCAGAAACACAGTAATGTTAATGAATAGAAACAAGCTGGAAAACAAACAAATTTTTTTAAGTATAATGTTTGAGATTATTATATAATACACACCATTAAAATGCCGACAAAAATTTTCTATTGCGTACGGAAAGTTGTTTCTTTACTCACACTTTGAGTTGACTTTGTTGATAAAATAGTTATTTTGATGATCAGATTATTACACTGTATATATATTTGAATGTTAAGTTTATTATTGCACTTTAATTGGAACTTGAATCAAGACAAAATAATACATTTCAACACAATAATTATTGTTGTTTATACTAAAATGAATAGTTACGAAAAACATTTATATTTTTAAAATATCGTTTGTCCCCAAAATTATTATTTTAAGTAACGATTCATCAGGTAAAGCTAATGAGGACATCTGAACAATCATCAGTCAGAATAATAAAATAAGTTTTGGTAGATGTAATGTTGTGAGAAGAACAGAATATAATTTACGACCAAAAATATTTTTTTTCGCATTTCCACATAGTATGAACATTTTCTTTCTCCGATCTCACAGTATCACCATTTACTACATTGTCATCTACTGTAGCTCTACGCTCTCCTTTATAATGTGACATTAGCTGATCATTTTGTGGAGTCATCAAGAGGAATGTGTACGCTCCTTCTTCCTCTCTTAACCTTTCCGTTCCTTTCCAACGCGAGGATATTTTCCTATATGTTTTTAAATTTATTACTACTCGCTCGGCATTTCTGCCATTGAAGATTGTTTAAATGTAGTTACTTTACTTTACGGAAAATCATTTATATGTGTAAACCAATTCACTTTCATTTGATTACATTCAATTCAAGAGATACTTATATTACAATTATATTCAAGGTGTTTATGGTTGTAATAGATTAATAAAAGATGGGTAATTGACTTTTAGGGGGTGTTGATAATATCTTTCGGTAAACAAAGATATTCTGCATAGATGCTAATATGTTTTGCCTCAAGCCATTAGGATAGTCAACTACAGCAATTAGACATAAAGTTAAATGGACAATTTAAGAAAATTAAACAAATGAATCACAACTGATAAAATATGAATCATAGATTATTACATGTTTCTGTCCCTAGTTGTACGACATTCTTCATAAAGCACATTAAAATTTTTTATCACTGCGATAACGTGTACAATTGATGTACACTATGAAGCATATCATAGAAACAGGATAGAGCATCTTGACCATAAGAAAGCACATTAAGAAGTCTAAATTTACAATTCAGAATACTTACTAACATTGAAAATATTAATTCTACATTATAGTTCTTAGCTCGGAAAGATATTCCTGTTGCTGAGAAAAGTTCTGAAACGTTTGCTTAAAACTATGAACAAGTGATTACTTATTACACATATATTAATTTGTTGATTCTTTTCTATCTTTTAGACCTAATTTTAGCTCTTTATGACTTTCTTTGACACGTAACCACAATAAGTTATCATATCACAAATTCTTTTGGGTTGTGTCAAGGACGTAACATTTATGACTGAACTTTGAAAAAAGTGATAATGAAACCTTCGCTTAGTTTCAATTTTTACTGTTTGCGAACTTTAATGTCATATAGTTATGGTAAATCATCATTATTTGAGGGAATTTTTGCGCAGGAAGAAAAGGAAAAAAAAGTGATGATAGGAAGGAAGTGCGCGGGTACACATTCAAGTAGGTGAGTCCGCGAAATGAACGGGCTATGTTACGTTTAACTAGAAGAGAGCGTCAAGCTGCGGAAGATGAAATCGCACTTTTATGGAGTAATACTGATACGCTGAGGTTGGTGAAAGTAAATTAATATTTTTTTTAGACAGCTCTAGTAAAGGCGGTTACCTTTACAGCGTGCAAGGCGTGCTAAAAGTTCAAATTTTAACACTAACACTTTCATTCGGGAGTGCAACTTTATAGTTTTCAAATGTTAGTAACCCCGTTTTTTGAGTACCTTTATTAATCATTTAACTATGTATTTCACGCAGTTGAATACGTATTCTGCATTTAAAAAAATATTACGCAGATTAGGTGAGAGCGTAGGCTTCCGCGGCCGGAGTCAGTATTTACTAGGCTGTCCGGGTGACGCCGCGTCCATGGCGAACTACCGGCACTCGGGTAGAGGAGAAACTGAGCCCCATTTAAACTCGTGCGCAGCACATCTCCGCGCATTACGCCCTGAGAAAGGTCGCAGAATGGCGACCGAAACGTCGGCAACTTCGCCATGGACGCGGCATCACCCGGACAGCCTAGTAAATACGTAGATTATTCTCTTCCCCGCACGACAATTCAGAATCTTTCTGTTTTTTACGCAATAAATGGAATCAGTTGAAAGTATGCGTAATGCTACTATTAAATTCTCGTCTCAGCTCACCTTAGGCACCCCCAGCAGAGAGCCAGCAGCCTTCATCTCGTCCTGCGGCGCCTCCTCTTTGGAAGACTCTGCGTTGAGCTGCTGCACCGCCGCGTGGCCCACGGACTGCGACTCGGCCTCCAGCAGCTGCTGCAGGAAGCTCTGCGGAATCCGGTGCAGCTGCTCCTGCGGCTGCTGCTGAGGGATGTCTGCTTGCACGTGAACTTGCGCGTGCGCTTGAGACTGCGACTGCACTTGCGCCTGCGGCTGAGCCTGTGGTTGGTGTTGTTCCGCCTGGAATATGGGTTCCTGCAGGCCCAACACTTGAGGCTGTTGCGATGCGGCGTTGAAGTTAATGTTGAACGGTTGTTGCGCGAGGTAGTTGAAATACTGTTGGCTTTGCGCTACCTGTTGGTTGATTTGAGCCAGGTACTTTTGGTAGTTCGACTGTAGGTCTCTCTGGATGCTTTCGATTTGGTCTTTGGAGAACGCATCTTTATCCGCTTCGGCCAATGCTATTTGGAACTGCGGCACTTTCTTTCGAGGCTCTCTCTGCGTTTCTAACTCCAATAAGCTCTGGATTTTTGATTTCTTACTATCTAAAATGGGTGCTTGTGCCTGCACTGTCGACGCTTGCTGTTCAGCTTTGATTTTCTTCGCAATCTCGAAGATGGTGGAGTCATCATCGTTTTCTGTCAATTCCGTTTCATACGTTTGCTTTGTTGTTGAGGACGCTTGAGCAGGTTTGTGATTTACGTACGTTAGAGTTTGTTGCTCGCTTGGAGCTTGGCTAACTAGCGGTAGAGCTATAGGAGAATTTGTTTCTTGCTGAGGCGTTGAGGCAGCGGGGTGTTCTTTAGGCTTTGTATTAACATTTGAGCGCAGGGTCTCGTACTGAATCGCTTGAAGAAGTGATTGCGCGTTCGCGATTTGAATCTGGTTCAGGAACTCTGGGTTCAAAGTGTCAGACTGCGGCCGGAACTGAACCAGTTGCGGTTTCACAAACGTCGGTGCTTGACCGCTTGACCGATGGTCTTCGAGAAGGGTGGCAAGCAGCAGCTGCGATCCTCCAAGTTGAGAAGGCCCGCGTTGCTGGTTCCCGCTGGCTTGTTGCGCGGCATCCTGAGAGGGCTGTTGAGATTCGGTAATGAAGAGTTGGCTTCCTGCTCCTGAGTCACTCGCCTGAACTGGCTCCGCGGGAACCTGCGCTGGAACAAAGACCGGCGTCTGCTTGGACACTTGGGCCTGAGAGAACCCGTTCTCCACCGGCAACTCGTAAGGAATGGCCTTCTGAATCTCGACGATGGTTCTCGTGCGCTCTCCTACCGGGTTCTCGACCGCGTGGGCGCCGGAGGCTGTAGGCGGCAGGGCAGTAGGAGGGGCGGGGGTGAGAGACACCTTGTTCGTTCTGAGCCCCTTGTTCTTGAACTGCCTTCGGGAGTTCGGCGAGTTAACGCGTGGAAGAGTGGCGGATATTTTATTGCCCGAGTCGCCGGACAACACGAGCGCAGAGGCGGCTGGGAGAGGGTCGGGTCTGGGAGTGATGAGAACCTCTTTTTCCACCTCCGGGGTCTGCGTAGTGTATTCGAACGGGGTGGAAGTGACGGCGGGGGTTGTGGCGTAGGCGGGCTCCGGCGTCACGACAACGGGTCGAACTGTTGTTACGTAAGATGACTCGCTTCCACCGTCAACGTGAGTCTTGGAAACGGAGACGGCAGCGTTGCTGGTTTGAGAGTACGATGCCCCGGAGTACACCACCGCCGGGTTAGAGGCATCGGAGGACACAGAGGGGCTCGGCGTCACCACAGACACTTCCTCGCTCGTTTCCAGCTCGGCTACCACTATTGGCCGGAACGAAGAGCGCGGCAACGGTGTTTGTGTCACTACACGACTTTCATACTTCTCCACATTCTGAACCTCATTATAACGCACGTACTCTTTCTGCACGGAGCTGGCAACAGCTACGGGAGACGCAGTAGAAGTAACTTTAACTCGGAAAGAGGGCTTCAGTTTGGCTCCAAACTCAGCTGCAGCGTTTGTTTCCCCTCCGTATGAACTAATTTGAACGAAATGATCCTCCTGGACTTGGTTGGACGTTTGACTGTTGTCTTTTGCGGACACCGTGTAGCCCGCTCCTGAAGGAGCCGTGTTGCCGTAAGCATCACTGCCACCACCTGTCGCCGTCACGTACGATACTTGCTGAGTTACGATAGGAGTAGACACTGTAGGATTCACGCGGACCGTTACCGCTTGTTTTATTGTATGAGTTGCTGTTGACGGTGAGGCATGGCCGCTTTCAGTAAGTACAACCCCTTGGTTGTTATTATTCTTAGATGCGTACTTTAAGTGGAGTACCCCGTTTTTCTCTGTGTTTCCATAATTATTTTGTGCTTCCGCATAATTTCGCTGTGCTTCGGCGTAGTTGTTCTGAGCCTCGGCGTAGTTCTTCTGAGCCTGCGCGTAGTTATTCTGAGCCTCAGCGTAGTTGTTCTGTGCTTCGGCGTAATTGGTTTGTGATTCGTCATAGTTTGTCTGTGCTTCAGCATGGTTGCTCTCCGCTTCTTCGTAGTTATTTTGAACCACCGGTGGTTGCGCAATTAGATTCAACGCAACCGGCGCATCTCCATTGTAGTTCTGTTCCTGGACTATGGCCGGTGCAGGAGTGGAAGAAACGTACCCGCTGACTTGATTGTACGAACTCGACGAAGAGGACGACTCCGAGTACGAGACCTGCACGTTTTGGCCTATTGCTGAGGGTGGGGCGGCAGGAGCTGTCTGAGCCACAGGAACCACAGGAACCACAGGTACCACTTGAGGCAGTGGAGCGGCCGGAGCCACAGGAGCCGCCGTCGAAGTCTCGATGACGTCGTTCTGAGCGTAGGCGTTCTCGGAAGCCGCGTTCAAATCTTGCTCTTTGACGACCAGCACCTGCTGCGCCACAGGCACTCCCCCGTTGGTGGACACAAAGTGGTAGTGGCCCGACTGCGAGCTGTGGATGTGCGCCGGCGAAGTGGAGGTTTGGGGCTGTGGACCTTGGGTGTACGTGATAGCGGACCCGCTTGCATCGAATGATGTCTGGTATGTGACCTATAACAATAATTTACATGTATTTTTATAGAGCAGTCATTACCTTATATTTGATACCTATACTATCGTTGATATTAATTGATATTTATTCTCCTTTTTAAAATTAAAACAATAGTAATTAAGACTAATTAAATTGTAAATGTTTTTATATTACCTACAGAATAATATTTTCAATTAATTTCTTCCAGATTTCAATTTTATATTGTGAAATATTAGAGGGAGGTTTTAGTATATTTCGTTTTTTTATTAACGTAAGCTCAACATAAATTAATATTGGCAAAAATATGCCGAACAATAAAAATATATTTAATTGAAAAAAACTGATCAATAACATGAAGTGTTCAAGAATACCAGAATTTTAATTTAATTTTCATAAAACAGAAAAAGTTACATAAGTAAGTAATATATATAGGAAATTATTCTTAATAACATAAAAAGTAAAGTTTCACAAAGATGGAAATTTCTTCATAACTTGATTCATAATTGAATTCAGTTAATTGATATTGATAAATAACATTACTTTTTAACAAAGCGTTGGCATTTGTGAATTGAAAGAAGAAGGAAGGCCCTACAGACAACCAAAAGTCAGCATCAGTTTATCGTTAGTTTAATTATAGATGAAAATGACTTTAAAAATAGGCTGATATTAATGTTTTTTTTGCACTACGTTTTTTTTAACATTACATTATTTAAGAAAGTAACATAACTGCTACAGTTTTAAAGGTTACATTGAAAATTCTGACAAAAAGTAACACCAAACAGGCAGAAAATCGATTTAAATCTATGAAATTAATATGAACCAAATATTTAAGTACTTCAAATGATTTTGCAAGGCTTTGATTTTTTCTCGGTATATGACACATAGAAAGTGAATATATGTGGTATATGACATAAAAAGAGAGGGTATATCTTGTGAGAGTAAAAACAACATATATTATTCAACGCCGCGCTTCTTTTGGACTGAAAGATGCATGCAAGAAAGTAGCGACTTGCACTTGTACTTCACGCGGAACGAAGATACTTTGATAAGAAGAAGAAAATTACTGCGATGATATGAATAATATAATAATCGTACATTTAGATAAGATTGTATTTAAATTTATTTTCCCTTTCAGTTCTCCCGCTTTATTTGCATAATATTATCAAATTAATATTTTACTTGGATATAACTGAATGCTAGAGAAACCTCTCCGTTACACGTGGTTCAATTATCAAAAAAGAATACATCAACTGGGACTCAAGAAAATACTTATCATTGATAAGAATTAGTAACGACGTGCCTTAAGGCAATGCTGAATAATTTACACGTGATTATCAATGATGATTGATCTAGGCCAGGTAAGGTGATTTTTTTTTACTTCAGTTTTTTACAAGTTTGTATCTCGTCGGGGTCATGTTCGTAGTTCTATTAATCACTTCCAGGCAAAATCCGAATCAGCATCTTATACAGCTGGTTAGGGACTGCACGCTCAACTCCCTTCTCATCAATCTCTCTCAACCGGAACTGAGGATTCGGGACATGTTCCGAGCCTTCTTGTCATAATCAGTCGCAAGGATGCTAAAATCCCACAGAGGATTGAAAATTACTGAAAATATTCTGTTATTCATGTCATTTATAATACGGCTAGCTTATCGTTGTGCCTACTAGGAATAATTTCGTGTAAAACATTTTCATTGGCTCCATGCATGTTAATAATAAATTTGTGAATTACGTAACCAGTGCACGAATCGCATCGTGCATAACTACTTTTTAACACGCCGTGTGAAAAAAAAGTTCGCTAACACTTTGCGATATTTCACCCTCACTTGCTAACGTGCTGACACTATTATTTACAATGAAAAAAATAACGGATTTACATACGGTAAACTAGCATGAAAAACCGTTCTTTAAAACAGCCTGTTAAAAAGATATGTGAATCATAATACACATTCCTGACTTAGCCATACTCAGCCAAATTAAGGTTTTCCAACAAGTATCAATAGAAGTATTAAAAAAAGTTTCTTTACAAAATTAGATTTAATTATCTTCGTTTTGAGGAACAAAGTTACTATTCACTTTATGACAGAGACAGAATAGTAAGCCACAGAATTTCACCACAGGAAGTGTCTTGAAACTCCCAAACGGAATATATTTCTACAATACGTCAAAATATAATAGGAATATCCAACTAAAAATATGCTCAATTTATTCTTGTACGTGATATGAATCGAATGAGCTTTTTATTCATGGATGCAAATATTTTACCCTCCAAAATGCATTCACGATACTTAATTCACTATAAATACGTATTTGATAATGTTCTTATAACGTTCTGGAATTATCTGAGCAAATAAATAATAGCTCCCGATTACTTTAAGTAACATTTATGGAATATGATGTGCTAAGGTTGAATGACATATTTTGACAATTTATGGTAAACCATTGACCTCAAACGATGTAAGTGTTCTATTCCTTGTTAGAGAAGTATTCACAGAACTAAATAAAGCAGATGTAAAAACATTCCTGAAAAAAGAGAAGTATGCAGATTATTACATTCGAAACTGGTTAATGAAATACTGGTTAAAATCACACATAATTTAGAATCGATGCATCTTAGGCGCTTTCAACCAGATTTTTGTTTCGCAAAGGGACACCAGTTGTGGGGGACATATGGGTTTTGAGGGGAAATACGATCTTTGGGTACGGATGGGGGAATTGCAGGCGTAATGCGGAACAGGCGGGGGCATGTGGTGGTGAAATGGAGGCTGAGTTATTTTTAAGTAGTATTTTTTTAAATAGAATTTTTTAAACAATTTCGGATATTTAGCTCTGCTAGGGTCCTCTACTACGTAGAATGGATGGCCGTATATGTGTAAAAACCCCAAACTTATGTTACATGAAGTTAGAAAGTAAGTGACAAAATTACAGTGATTGATTTTCCGTGAAATTTAATCTCAACTCTTAACATTATTACAAATTCACTTAAACAGAATATCAGAGGCTGAGATCGTTAAGGCAGTAAGGCCATAGTGATCGCGGACGGAAGGATCGCGGGTTCGAGTCCCACCTTGGGCATGGTTGTATTTGTATTCGTGTTCCTTCTTTCACACCCTATCATCACCATAACTCATCATCTTCGAAGTTGCTATGGCGTTAAATGCAATAGTGGTTGCTAATACTCTAGATATCAATGCGACCATAAATAACAAAAAAATAATATCAGACTTGAAATGGTATAACACTCAGCTATGCGGATATAGTATACCCAGAAGATTTATGGATAAAATTGATCCAGTACAAAGCTTCTTTTCACTTTTAAAACAATAATTAATGCACGCGTACTGCAGAAGTATAAATTTATTTTGTCATAAAAATCATTATTAATACTGGGAATTATAAATCAATCAGTAAATTAAACCCCGAATTACTGCAGAATTGGACAATAAGTACCTGCGGCAACTGCACTAGCAAGTTGGACACCGGCTGCACGACTGTCGTCTGGAACGTTTTGGACGCCGCCTGTTGGTAGCCGCCTGCGATCGCTTCAGCAGCCTGTTCCGCCGCCTGGGCCTGGGCTTGCGCCTGCGCATGCGCCTGGGCCTGGGCCTGAGCCTGTTCCTGGGCCTGTGCTTGGACCTGTGCTTGGACCTGTGCTTGGGCCTGGGCCTGCGAGGCATCTCCGGCCTCCGCCACCAGCGCCAGCGCCTGGGGCGCGGAGCCAGACCCCTTGTTGCCGAAGACGGTGACGACGGCGTTAGCGGCCGCGTCCGACGACTTCAATGACTTGCCCATCACGTCGATGGGGGTGATCAGGCCCTGGAAAGCGAGGGCCGGTTAACGCTTCTTGTGTTGAGAGCAGAAAAACCTCTATTCGGAATCCGGAGGCCTTTATACATTTAGTCATTAAGTATATTGAGGGTACAAAGATGTGAAATCAGAAAAATTAGAACTATCTACATATGTTGAAATATTAAGAGGAAAATATACATACAGAAAGAGAGAAACGACCTCAAAAATACGAGATAGCCGAAAATATAATAATGAATAAAATATGAATATTGAAAGGAATCAAGGCAAAATGCATACAAAAAAGGAAGAGAACAATGGGGATTTCATAATGAAAATCTGAAGGTAAGAGCAATGAGGCAGAACAAAAGGAAGGAAATATTAATCCCTCAAAATAGTAATGGACACTTTACTTAAGCGGGGAGGGTTTACATGAACTCTGATTTGCTTTTGAATTAAATGGATATATGCAAAATAGTATGTCCCGTATGAACATACGTGATGTTAATTAGCTTTCTTAATACGGTAGAATATCAGTTTTCCTAATTAAAATATCCGAAAAAGTTTGATGTAAACAGAATGATCGAAAACGAAGCATTTCTCATTAGAAATCACGAAAACTCTTTTACGCAGTTCCACTGAAATTCTTTTTATTTTTTAATAATATTTGTCTCAAATTTTTCATGTTTCGAGCCTCAAAGAGCTGGTATTCTGAACTTTTTACGGTTGTATCGTGACTAATTTAGCAGTCGCATTTCTTGAAGAAGCACAATAGCATTTAATTATTACAAAATATTTCAAATGAACACACGAAATGATCATTCGTTGAAAAAGAAACGCAGGCTGCTTCACGCATGGCATTGTGTGAATGCCCCGATTCCAGAAAATATTTGGTAGTCACTCAGGCAGGCGGACGAGTTTTTTATAAGAATCATTTTCAGCTAATAAAAATCGAGCTGTTGTGTGAAAGTTGAGACACAATGTTGACAACCACTGTCGAAAACAAAATCTTGCGAAAACTACGGCACACAAAAACCAAAGATTGGCTGTATAAATAAAGTTAAGAGTGTTTGACTGCAGATTTGTAATTATAATTCTTAATAATCTAGTTGAATTATATATAAGAAAAGGTATATTATATTTTTGTATGAAAGTATGTTGAAAAACATTGCCAATGCCGGGCATCATTCAAAGAACTGATGTGTTCTATTCAAATTCTCGGTGGATTTCATTCAAACGATCTCTCGATACGTGCTATACAAACTCTCGATAGGGGTGTTTAATTCAAAATCAATACGAGTCTTTAATTCAAATTCTTGTTACAAGTTACCATTAGAATTCTCGATATCTAATTTATTCTCTCTTCGATTTGAATTCAAGATAATTCGAACAAAACTTCTTTTGTATCTCGAACTCAAACAAATGCTGAGTTAACTCATTGGCATTGCAACTATTCAGACTTGGAGGTCATGAGGTTTGCGTTTCGATGATTTTGTGAGGGATTTTCGACATTAATTGCATTCCTATGTTCAATTCAGCCACAGTTGTTTTCTGGGGTTCCTTCGATCAGTACAAGAAGAATACTAGAACAGTAGCCTAAAATCGGAACGATATTTCCTTTCTCATCCTTGTCCGATCTACTTCTCTTTGAATCACACTTACTCTTACTTGCAAAACATTACTACGCATGATGGATGACCAGTCGTGAGCATTGATCTTATTGTGCCTTGTGAGGTGCCCCGCCAGGGAGATACCTTGAGGGGAAAATACTGCAAGCCGACGTTTAGGTCGACGCGGGATATTGCGCATCAGCGGGCGGAGAATACCGCCCCCTCACAGGTCACAACAACAACTACACTTACGGGGCGAATTACTAAATCCGTTTATGAGTTAACCAATGAAATAACTGATCAGTCCATGACTCAATCAATGACTCGACCTATCAAAGACGTAAAGAACAGAGCCGGAGGGCTGAAGAGTGAAGAGCGGGGCGTACCTTCGACGTTGCGCCGCGCAGCGCGGCGACGGCCTTCTCGCCCAGGGCGAACTGCGACGCACTGACGCCGTGCGGGCCCGAGGTGCTGTACTGCACGAGCGGGTGGTAGCCCCAGTCGTCCGCCAGGTAGTGCACCTGCTGCTCGGCGCCGCCCGGCAGGTTCACGTAGTACATGCCGCGCGCCAGCTCGCCCTCCCTCGTCTCCAGGTGGCCCTGGCGGTTGCCCTTGCCGTCGCGCACGTCGTACCCGAACTCGTACTTGGGCGGGTGCTGGAACACACGCAACCACAATCGTCAGCATCATTTCAAAGATGGACGCGCGCGTCCAAACAATCTGACTTTTGAAAGTAAATGTACGTACAATTGACTGTAATATGTAAATATACGTACATTGTATGTGTTGAATGTAATATGTGATTGTAGAATAATGATTAATACAATATGGATAATTATATTTTAATTAGAAGTAATGAAAAGTGATGTCCATAAAAATGAAAACTGAGATTCCGTAGAAGTTAAGTTAGTAATGTAAATATAAACTAATAGGGAGTAAAAACCATGCTGTGGTTGCAATACAAAATCTCGTAAGGTCAGGCTGGGAAGACAGAAGCAGAATCACCTCTGCACCGGCAGGAGCTATTTGTCCTTTAGGGATCAAATGGGTTTATATAAATTCATCCATTTGCCAACATTGGTAATGTTATGCGTAAAAGCACTTTCAAAATTATATAAACTTGATCATATGATTCTGTATATTAGACAATTATCACCTGCGACCAGAAGTCAAAATTGCATACAATTCATGTATATAAGAGGAACAGACATCAAAATTCTAACCCAAATACTCTTGAATTCTAGGTTTCCATTATTTATATTGTTACGATTCTTTATATTGTATTTATACAATTAAATGTTTGTATATCAGAGTTCTTGAAATTTCATAAACCACGTAGACCGCTGTTTGAAACACTTCAGCATATTCAATCCAAAGAGGCCGAACAGAGAAAAACTTTTCTTAGAGCATAATTTGAAATTTAAGACAAAGATGTTTGGCGTTCAAGAGTGGAATACGTTTTCTGTGATATTGTGGAATAAGTATTGACGGGTAAATTGGGTTGATTTGTATGGAAGTATATTTCAAGTGGGAAAACAAGAACATTTTTAATACTAGTTTTACAGGTGGTCTAAGACACCAATGAACTATTTAATAATGTGGACTTTTATTACAAACATAACAATTAAAGTCTGACGTTAATGTTTGCTTAGGCATTGCCCCGGACTTTGCGTGAAATTCATCACCGAAACTACGAAAAATATTGAACAGAGTAGCCGGCATCTATACGTTCCCTCAGCGGTTGATTTGAACCTAGCTATCAAGACAATAGAAAATCGTACGCTCGGGGGAACGTTCCGGCAGCAACACTGTTTCAACAGCAATGCTGCCTACGATCCTTTCCAGTTGGTGTATCCTACTCAAAATAGTTATTTATGTATCAAGGCCGAAAAATTCATTCAATTTGATGCAACTATTTTTTGAACATTGACCTCCCAATTTTAGGTTTGAATTTTTAGAGAGATTTCATTTTTACCATTCAGTTTCGTCGTATAGATGCAGATGTTCTTTCACATTATCGCCTCTGACGATGTCAGTACTGTCACCATTGTTAAAGCATGTAGAATTTACGGTTGATTTTGGTGATTTGTTTCGTAAGTAGAGGGTGCGATATTCCAGAGATTATAACTGAGAGAGCTGAGGCTATTACTGAGAGTTTATTTCCTCAAGAATCAAAGGATTCATACGAAAGAGATTTTTACGGGTGACGGTTTTTAAAATGGAAAAGTGAGAAACATGTAACCAAGGGAAATGAAACAACTATTCTGGCATATCCCTATGAAAATGTATATTTCAATTTCTGTTGAAACTCCTAGTATGAGTGCTCAATGCCTAGAACACGTAACAGTTCCAGGTATAATATTTCACAATATATCAAATTGTGTTGTTAATATAAATGTTAACAATAATATAGATAAAAACGTTATTTATTCGAAAAATAATAAATATTCTTTACCAATGGGTCAATATTCATTTGAACATGTCTTGTTTACTTGACGTAGCCATATTCATCGTCCTCTAAAGTTAATTCTTGAGCAAGGCCGCAAACCTCATCTATGTGGCA